ATGGAAGTTATGATGAAAATGCCCATCGAAAATATTAAATATTTGCCAAAAGTGGTTTTTCCGATTTTCCGACATAAAATAATCCGTTTTTTGGCCACAACTTTAAAAATAATTGTCTGAATATGGAATGTCATACATCGTTGAGCTCGTATTTAAATTTCCAATCGAACTGTATCCAAAAATAAAAACTTAATTTTTTTGACATTTTTGGCAAATTTTGTTGATGTCATCCCTACAAAAAAGGCAAAAAATCACAAAAAAATTGATTTTCCCATATCCGTCAAAAAGTGGTAGGGATGGTTAGCGTTGGTAATTAGCTGCTCAAAACTGTTATTCTTTCATCTTTTTGATCATTTTTATGGAAGTTATGATGAAAATGCCCATCGGAAATACTAAATATTTGCCAAAAGTGGTTTTTTCGATTTTCCGACATAAAATAATCCGTTTTTTGGCCACAACTTTAAAAATAATTGTCTGAATATGGAATGTCATACATCGTTGAGCTCGTATTTAAATTTCCAATCGAACTGTATCCAAAAATAAAAACTTAATTTTTTTGACATTTTTGGCAAATTTTGTTGATGTTACCCCTTACAAAAAAAGCAAAAAATCACAAAAAAATGTATTTTCCCAAATCCGTCAAAAAGTGATAGGGATGGTTAGCGTTGGTAATTAGCTGCTCAAAACTGTTATTCTTTCATCTTTTTGATCATTTTTATGGAAGTTATGATGAAAATGCCCATCGAAAATATTAAATATTTGCCAAAAGTGGTTTTTCCGATTTTCCGACATAAAATAATCCGTTTTTTGGCCACAACTTTAAAAATAATTGTCTGAATATGGAATGTCATACATCGTTGAGCTCGTATTTAAATTTCCAATCGAACTGTATCCAAAAATAAAAACTTAATTTTTTTGACATTTTTGGCAAATTTTGTTGATGTCATCCCTACAAAAAAGGCAAAAAATCACAAAAAAATTGATTTTCCCAAATCCGTCAAAAAGTGATAGGGATGGTTAGCGTTGGTAATTAGCTGCTCAAAACTGTTATTCTTTCATCTTTTTTATCATTTTTATGGAAGTTATGATGAAAATGCCCATCGGAAATACTAAATATTTGCCAAAAGTGGTTTTTCCGATTTTCCGACATAAAATAATCCGTTTTTTGGCCACAACTTTAAAAATAATTGTCTGAATATGGAATGTCATACATCGTTGAGCTCGTATTTAAATTTCCAATCGAACTGTATCCAAAAATAAAAACTTAATTTTTTTGACATTTTTGGCAAATTTTGTTGATGTCATCCCTACAAAAAAGGCAAAAAATCACAAAAAAATTGATTTTCCCATATCCGTCAAAAAGTGGTAGGGATGGTTAGCGTTGGTAATTAGCTGCTCAAAACTGTTATTCTTTCATCTTTTTGATCATTTTTATGGAAGTTATGATGAAAATGCCCATCGGAAATACTAAATATTTGCCAAAAGTGGTTTTTCCGATTTTCCGACATAAAATAATCCGTTTTTTGGCCACAACTTTAAAAATAATTGTCTGAATATGGAATGTCATACATCGTTGAGCTCGTATTTAAATTTCCAATCGAACTGTATCCAAAAATAAAAACTTAATTTTTTTGACATTTTTGGCAAATTTTGTTGATGTCATCCCTACAAAAAAGTCAAAAAATCACAAAAAAATTGATTTTCCCAAATCCGTCAAAAAGTGATAGGGATGGTTAGCGTTGGTAATTAGCTGCTCAAAACTGTTATTCTTTCATCTTTTTGATCATTTTTATGGAAGTTATGATGAAAATGCCCATCGGAAATACTAAATATTTGCCAAAAGTGGTTTTTCCGATTTTCCGACATAAAATAATCCGTTTTTTGGCCACAACTTTAAAAATAATTGTCTGAATATGGAATGTCATACATCGTTGAGCTCGTATTTAAATTTCCAATCGAACTGTATCCAAAAATAAAAACTTAATTTTTTTGACATTTTTGGCAAATTTTGTTGATGTCATCCCTACAAAAAAGGCAAAAAATCACAAAAAAATTGATTTTCCCATATCCGTCAAAAAGTGGTAGGGATGGTTAGCGTTGGTAATTAGCTGCTCAAAACTGTTATTCTTTCATCTTTTTGATCATTTTTATGGAAGTTATGATGAAAATGCCCATCGGAAATACTAAATATTTGCCAAAAGTGGTTTTTCCGATTTTCCGACATAAAATAATCCGTTTTTTGGCCACAACTTTAAAAATAATTGTCTGAATATGGAATGTCATACATCGTTGAGCTCGTATTTAAATTTCCAATCGAACTGTATCCAAAAATAAAAACTTAATTTTTTTGACATTTTTGGCAAATTTTGTTGATGTTACCCCTTACAAAAAAAGCAAAAAATCACAAAAAAATGTATTTTCCCAAATCCGTCAAAAAGTGATAGGGATGGTTAGCGTTGGTAATTAGCTGCTCAAAACTGTTATTCTTTCATCTTTTTTATCATTTTTATGGAAGTTATGATGAAAATGCCCATCGGAAATACTAAATATTTGCCAAAAGTGGTTTTTCCGATTTTCCGACATAAAATAATCCGTTTTTTGGCCACAACTTTAAAAATAATTGTCTGAATATGGAATGTCATACATCGTTGAGCTCGTATTTAAATTTCCAATCGAACTGTATCCAAAAATAAAAACTTAATTTTTTTGACATTTTTGGCAAATTTTGTTGATGTCATCCCTACAAAAAAGGCAAAAAATCACAAAAAAATTGATTTTCCCATATCCGTCAAAAAGTGGTAGGGATGGTTAGCGTTGGTAATTAGCTGCTCAAAACTGTTATTCTTTCATCTTTTTGATCATTTTTATGGAAGTTATGATGAAAATGCCCATCGGAAATACTAAATATTTGCCAAGAGTGGTTTTTCCGATTTTCCGACATAAAATAATCCGTTTTTTGGCCACAACTTTAAAAATAATTGTCTGAATATGGAATGTCATACATCGTTGAGCTCGTATTTAAATTTCCAATCGAACTGTATCCAAAAATAAAAACTTAATTTTTTTGACATTTTTTGCAAATTTTGTTGATGTCATCCCTACAAAAAAGGCAAAAAATCACAAAAAAAATGATTTTCCCAAATCCGTCAAAAAAGTGATAGGGATGGTTAGCGTTGGTAATTAGCTGCTCAAAACTGTTATTCTTTCATCTGTCTGATCATTTTTATGGAAGTTATGATGAAAATGCCCATCGGAAATACTAAATATTTGCCAAAAGTGGTTTTTCCGATTTTCCGACATAAAATAATCCGTTTTTTGGCCACAACTTTAAAAATAATTGTCTGAATATGGAATGTCATACATCGTTGAGCTCGTATTTAAATTTCCAATCGAACTGTATCCAAAAATAAAAACTTAATTTTTTTGACATTTTTGGCAAATTTTGTTGATGTCATCCCTACAAAAAAGGCAAAAAATCACAAAAAAATTGATTTTCCCAAATCCGTCAAAAAGTGATAGGGATGGTTAGCGTTGGTAATTAGCTGCTCAAAACTGTTATTCTTTCATCTGTCTGATCATTTTTATAATGAAAATGCCCATCGAAAATATCGAAAATTTGCCAAAAGTCGTTTTTCCGACATAAAATAAGTAAATAATGTATATAATGTAAATATTTCTCAGAGATATACTAATTGTTGGGCTATGTAAGCAAAAAGAAAACTCCAATCAAAAAAGCTTACCTTTACAGCTGACTGACGGAAGTTTTATTGAGTCAACAAGGTCTTTGAGGCAAACAAGGCTCAAAAACTAGTGCTTATTATTTAAACACACAGTGTAAATAAGAACTTAATGCAAACGCTGATATATACATATTTGCATGTATATGTGTGCGGCTCATAAGCTCTGTTAAAGTTATTTAAAGTTGCCTACAACAGCTTTCTTCATCCCGCTGTTAAACTTTCCCGGTTGTCTGCTATGTTTGCCCCTCTGTTGTTCGATCGAGCAGGTCCCGGGAAATCCGTGCAGTTTCCTTCAGTCGGTCACATACTGTTGGACGGGCTGGAGGTGGACTGCCCGCCACACCCGCCCCTGATTTTCTATTTGATGCATTTGAAAGTTTGTGTTTTATGGGTGGTTTTTTTGCGTAATGCAACTGTTAACAACTCTTTAAATATTTTACACGGTTTAGCATTTTGCATTGATAATCCCCGCACTCACCGCACATGCGGATGGCATGAGTTTATGGTTCAGTTTCAGTTTATGCATTCTCATAATGCTCGATGAATTCAGAATGCCGTGTTTGCATTTCAACTCCTACTGACTTTTTCAAAGCGTTTCAAAGCGACTCGCTGGCAAAATGCAAAAATGCACATAGAATTTAATTTAATTTGCGCACACTCATGCACCATTTATCCACTTCTAATTAATTGCATTGCACAAGAACACAAAACGCAAAACATTTGAATGTGAATGTGTCTGAACGGACATGAACAAATATACAAATGTGAACAAAAACATGCTGAGAGCCAACTGAACAGGGCAAAAAGCGACACAAGATGAAAATATTCATTATTATTTGCGAAATTGCGAATTAATGATATGAGCAAACAGGCAGGCCATAGTGTTGTTGGCATGAAAATTATGCCAGCGCACAACAACAAAGGCAATGCGATTTTTTAATTAAATGCTTTAGCTCTAATCCAGAAGCGCTTAGTGGAGTTGCGATTAGGCAAATCGCGAATGCGATGCCAGTTAAGTTCATAGGCAGCACGATGGGAGAGAAAAAAAACGCAGAATAGAAGCGGAGTGGGACCGGAAACGGAAACGCAAGGCAAACACACAACTGTCACCAGAAGAGCACTCCAAATGTCTAGTGAAGATACGAAAATACATAAATTTGCAATCGGTTTTTTGGGCCACTTGAGCACTAGGGGCTTTCTACCAAAAGTTCTTTTTGTAAACTTGTTTATGCTGTAGTGCACAGTAAGCCTGGAAACATATAACACTTTTGGACTTTCGTTCTAAGAACAATTGAGTTGTACTCAAATTTTGTTCAACAAAACCTTGCAATTTACTTGTTGCTATATATTTCGATTGGCCTGAGCGATTTTCGAGTAGTTGCAGAGCGTTAGGTAAGTTCTGTAGATCCGATTGGAAGCTATTTATTTATTTACTTGTACGTTGTAGACAAGAGTCTTAAACGTATGCTACAATTAGATATCGGCTATAGCTGCTGGGGCTTTCAGCCGGACTTCAACAGTATTTACTTATCTATTTATCTATTTATATCTATTTGTATCTATTTATATCGGTGCGGTTAAAATTTTGGGTAGTTATTAAGGGGCGTATTCATTGGCTTTGATGCCGATGTGAGTGGGGACCCATAGAATTTTGACTTTGGGAGCATATTTATTGAGTAAGTCGCGGATCGTTGAGATGTAGAATGTCGTACATAGTATGTTCCAAAGAGATTGAGCGAAAATGTCTTCACTGTCCGTCAGCTTACATTTCATTGGCTGTCGCCGATCACTGGGAATCCCCGAAAGTATGCAAAAAGTTGGGTCAGAGCAATTGAGCGGATTGAAGGAAGTGGTGGTGGAGTTGGGACCCTGTTTAACCCCACCACCACCACCACCCGGCTAGTTCAACTGGCATACTGGAATACGAGGAACAAAGTTCAAACTAGCCAAACAAAACAAAACGGAACAGAACAGAACAGAACAGAACAGAACTGAACTGAACAAAACAAAACAGAGCTAAACAAAACACACACAACGCAACAGGGAGCTGCTCATGTTTTTTGTTAATTAAAATTGGCATAGCAGCCGAGGGGAAAGGCAAGGTTTGGGAACAACATTTTTGCATTTTCATCAGTTTTTCGGGGCAACCAGCATCGACCAGTCAGCAGTCAGTAGTCAGCAGTCGGCATTTGAACATTTGAACATTTTAGCATTCTAGCATTTCAGCCAGCGACGATGGCTCACAGGTCATAGGTCACAGAAGGCGGGCACAGATGCCAAAGAAATCCTACGGCTTTCAACTTCCAACTTTCAACTTCCAACGCTCAACTGAACGAGTGCCACTTCGCTGTGTGCATATTTACCTTTAGAACATTTAATTTTTCACGAGACGACAACCGACCGACCCGTTGAGGGCGAGTCCTCGATTTATGTTCTGCCAATAAATTTGCTCAACACTTTGGCCCCGTCTAATGCAATATTTACATCACATTGGGCGCTGGGTGCTGGGCAAAATAAAAAATTGCATCGACAAGAACTAGGAAGGGCGAAATGGCTTTGCGGGAACTGAGAAAAATCAATGGTGCCTTCTATTTTGGATTTCGACTTATTCCAAAAGCAAGTTATTAGGTGAAATGAATCTAGATCGCCCAAGTACAGTAGATTCCAAGGATTCCAGTTACCACTTTATACCACTTTTTCTAAGTGCACCTGCGCGTCTTGTGGTTTCGGTTTTTGTTTTGGCTCTGCTTTTCTTTTCTCCCTGTCATTTAAGTTAAAAGAGCATTTGGAAATGTCGAGGATGAGATCCCTAAACGCCTTTTAAGAAGCTAAATCTCGTGCTGTTTCCCAACTTTGTTTGGCAGTTGCGAAAGGAGATTCGCAAATCCGTATAATTCATAACCCATGCCAAGTGATATGTGCATGCGGTTGGGATGTGGCTGGAAATGCAACTGGAACTGCTGTCCGCGGTTAAGACACAGATTTTCCATTAAACCAAAATCGGGTCAAATGAAATGGCCAAAACCGGCTTGCCAAAGCCCAAAAGCATAACAGTTCGAGGCCGCTCAAATATTTGGCACGCCTTGGATTCTGTTTCTGTTTCTGATTCCAGTTTCTGATTGCGTTATTTTTCACTCATTTATTCGAGTCCTTTTGCCCCCATTTAAACTTATGGCAACCAGAGCCAAATCAATGTTTGCTCCCCTGCTTTGCTTTTGATTTTACCCTTTTGGCCCAATGAGGTTCACGAGGACACGAGCAAACAAAAAGTGTTTCCTACGTCCGCTGCATAATCGAAGATGTAAAGACTTTTCACCGATTTCAGAAAACGCGTTAATAGTAGGGCATCGCAATCTATTACATCGGAGATGTTGGACATATGAAAAACGCTTTTTCCTCGCTGGGTTCGGTTTTCAAGGAAAAAGCACAACTTGACCCAGCTAATAAGAAATGCGTGATGTGTTACCTCGCACCCTCAGTGTTTGGGGTTTTGCACCCACTCAAATCATTCAGTCCGAGGGTGTGCAAATATTTGTTTCTAAAGTTGCCAACTTCTGCACACTTCCCGTGGTCTTGGTCAGTTTTTCTTTTCGTGCTTCTAAAGCGAAAATTTCCAGCTCACGTTCTTGGGAAAAGGGGGATTTTGGCTTGTTTGTCTCATTAGTTGGAAGTTCAGAAAGCATTGGGGTTTGGTTTTATAGATTTATATAGCTGTATAGAAAACTACGAAAGGGAAAAATTCCATTTTTTACTTTTGTAAATACACACATGTATATCGAGAATAATCTTTGCCCAGAATAGTAAGTGCTGAGATATATGTTAAAGTGAAAATTGTTCGATCTGTTTGAGGTTTCGGTAGTGCCAGGAACACAACACCAGAAAGTGCAGGATATCAGACAACAAAGCAGTAGAGTAGAGTAGAGTAGAGTAGAAGTAAGTAACGTACCGCTAACCACGCCATTTCCATATAACCCAACAGCTGTTTTCTGACCTCCAGTCAAGCCGCCATGTTTCCCAACAATTTTTACACAATGAAGAACTTCGCCAATCCGAAAACGATTTTCAAAAGCTGCGCAAACAACGAAGACTATACCACTCAAAGTCTCCAAAAAGTGGCGGCTCCAACTGACGGTAACCAAACTGTTGCTGCAGCTCCTCAATCCGCTGCTGTTCCACAATCTACTGCACTTACCCAACCAGCGAAGACTCAAGAACCGGCGAAGAACGCTCCCAAGAAGACCACGCCTTCTGAGCCCACAAGGCAGGGCAAGAAGAACAAGAAGGGCAAGAAGAATCAAAAGAATGTGCCTCGTACTCCCAGTCAGACGAGCAAGAGCAGTGGAAGCCACAAGGAGTCGGGCAAGAACCAGGCCAAGGATGGAAAGTCCCCGGGAAAGGAGGCCAAGGAGAAGGTGAATGACCAGGGGAAGGAAAAGGAGAAGATAAAGGAGAAGGAAAAGGAGAAGATAAAGGAAAAAATAAGGGAAAAGGAGAAGTCAAAGCAGAAAGAAAAGGAAAAGGAGAAGGCAAAGCAGAAGGAAAAGGAGAAGGAAAAGCAGAAGGAAAAGGAAAAGGAGAAGGTCCAGCAGAAAGAAAAGAAACCGGAGCAAAGGAAAGTTCAGGAGCAGTCGATAAGAAGCCCGCGAGATAAGAAGAATGTGTTCGAGAAGAAGCTGCTGGAGGAGAAGTTAATCGAAAAGAAAGAGCAGGAGCAGATAGTTTCGGAGCAAAAATTGTTAGAGCAAAAGATTGAAAGGCAGTTATCAGAGCAGAAGCTATTGGGCACGAGGCTGGAGCCCAGGATTTATCAGGTCAAAGATGATGATGCAGTGATCCCATTTGCCGACTCACCAGAATATTTGTCACTGAGCGATGTGAGCGATGTCAGCGATGTGAGCGATGATGATCTGACCACCGGACCGGAGGACGACGAGCCTCTGGAGCCCGAGGATCCTCATCATCCACTGAACAGCCAGTGGACGCTGTGGTATCTGGAAAACGATCGAACCAAAAGCTGGGAGGATATGCTGCACGAGGTAACAAGCTTCGATACCGTGGAGAACTTTTGGAGCCTGGTATCTCACATCAAGCCCCCATCGGATCTGAAGGTGGGCAGTGACTACTGTCTGTTTAAGAAGGGCATTCGGCCCATGTGGGAGGATGAGGCCAACATCCATGGGGGACGCTGGGTCATCAGCCTGAACAAGAACACCAAGCTGGATCTGGACAACTTCTGGATGGACTCCATGCTCTGCCTGATCGGAGAGACCTGCGAGCACTCGAACGAACTCTGCGGCGCCGTTGTCAATATTCGCGGAAAGACGAACAAGATCTCCATTTGGACGGCTGACGGGGCTAACGAGGCTGGCGTCCTTGAGATTGGGCGCGTTCTGCGCGAGGGTCTTCGCATGGACAGTGTGTATGTGCTGAAGTATCAGTTGCACAAGGATACCAAGGTCAAACAGGGATCAACTGTGAAGTCAATATACACTCTGTAGATTCTCAGCAGCCAGTTGGGAATCATCGCATTTTAGTTACTATATTTTCGGTATTTTTTCACAATTTTCAATCAGGTGATCAATAGTTCGAGCCTTTACCATCCATTACCATCCATCGTTCGGAAATTAGTTGGATGCCAAATCCCCAGTCAAGTCTTCCTTGTACATGTGTACATGTAAATTTAAATGTTGCTCTTGAAAAACGAAGAAATATTATTTGGTCACGAATTACTATGTTTCAAAGTGTATCTTTTCCTATTTTTTCTATCATTTTCTCTAATTATACCCGATTCCGGTTCTCACTTCAATGGCAAAGAGCATGCAACATTGTGTGTCTCGATTCCTGAGTTCCAATCAATGTACTTGATGTTCTTTGTCTGCCCCGCTGCCCCACTGCTCCACTGCTCACTATTGGAGCATTCAGAAGTTGGTTGCCTGCTTTTTGTTCGCTTCCACATCGGTCATCGGACATGGGACATGGGACATGGGACATGGAGCATTTGGACGTTGGAGGTTGGAGATTGGACTTATTTGGCGCACGGCGTCACAAAACTTGGCCGCGCTCAATTGTTTGATTTATTGGCATTTATTGGCAGTTGGCATTTTATTGTGACTGTTTTGGGTGACCACGTAGGGGGGAGCCAATGATGTTGGCGGCAGGTGAGCTCTCCTGCCAGTGAATTCCTTTTGTTGCTGTTCTTGGCCACTTTTCCATTTGACGGGCTTTTTGCGGCTTTTTGCTTAATGTGCTTAATGTATTTTCTGTGCCTTGCAGTGACCATTTTCGTACCTCCTAATTTCTTCCTCGCCTTTTTTTTTTAGCCTTTTATCGAAGCAGCCTCACTTCTGAGTTCTGGGTTTTCTATTTACAAAATATTCTGGGGACTCCACATAAAAGGTCAAGGCCCAGGCCCAGGTGACTTGCCCCATAAAAGCGAGCTCACCCATATTCCGTCATTGATTTATGACACTTAATTTCATTCCATTCTGCCAACGAGGCAGAGCCATTGATTAAACACTCTAACGAATTTTTATGGCCACCAACAGTTGTAGTTGGGCACCCACTTATTAGAGTGTGCAAATCGAGGAAGGGGAAAGCGAGGAGCCACTGTATCGATTTGGCTCGCGATCCCAAAGTGGGAGGACTGAGTGGGGGAAGGGGTAGGGGCTAGCCGAGGAGTCCGATGTTTAACAATGGTATTGCCAATAAACCGGAACGCAAAATCTGTATATATGCTGAACAGGAGCGGGGACCACGGCGCACACTTCACGGATAACAATTGCCAAAAAGTCGACGGCACACTTCTTCCCCATAAATAAAAATGTCAAGTGTCTGGCACTGGCAAGCCGACTAGGGATTTCCCTAAATTTCAGTTGCTAGGCAGCGATAAAACCGATGTGTTCTCTGGCCAAACTAGAACTAAAATCGGCTTCAGCTACGTCTGAAATGTTTAATTTATCAGAGATGAAATAAGTGCTTTGCTTATACCTCGCGCAGCCGACGAGACCCTCCAATCTGCAGCAAAAAAGATAGAAACGAAAATGTTCCCCTAGGCTGCCAACTACCCCAAACTACGAGGCCCAGAAAAGGCCGCCCCACAGGTGGCGCTTGTGTAGTAAAACGTCGATTTACATGCGTGCTGTATGCACAGGGGAAAATATGTATGCATATACGCCCGCACATGTACACTCCAGTAAATGGAAGGTAAGAGCCACCGAGGTAAGAGCTCTGACTGACGAATTTCAATTTATTTACTTTTATTTGCGTATGCAAAATAGTCGGCTGCGGCTTGATTTTGGTTATCTCACACATGGGCGAAGGAGATCCAGCGGATACAAAGGAGGTTTGGTAAGAGGTTTTCTCTTCAACTTCGCTTCAACTAACGCTCTTTCGCTCCTTAGCTGTTAAAGCTGTTAAAGCAGTTAAAGCAGATCGCTTTTTTATGAGCAAATAGAGCACTGTAGAGTTATTTAATAACTTATAATTAATCGCCCAATCGATTTGGCCAGCTGAGCAAATCACTCAGCTTGAAGAGCTCGTATCCTGAGCACAGAGCAATTGAAAAAAGAAACCCCTCATTGTGGCAAGCACTTACATCAGCCATGGACAAATGGGTGCCTCAATTCTGACACTTGCCCCAATAAACAATCCATAATCCATAAAGGCACTCGGCCCACCTTCCCACGTCTGTCTTCCCAAGACAGGACGGAACATTTATGTTCCGGAGCCGGACGAGAGACGAACATGTCATATGGAAACACTCGAACGAGGCCCCAGGACAAGTACACCGGCAGAAAAGGAGCTGGACTGGAGCTAGGCACGGATGGGCACGGCGATTATATAGAAGCCATTTAATCGCAAACGTTTAATAGGGTGTCATGTAGGCCAAAGTTCAGTGAATTCAATGAAACACATTCTGATCTCAGTGTAAGGGGGTTACGTTGCCGCCCAAAATTGTGCTAATTATACGGCCATAGCTAATTCCGGGCCATAGTGTGGGTCTTGGGGTCCTGGGGTCCTGGTTACTTGGTTACTGGGCACCGGCCAGTTGGGGTTCTGAATAAGTCATGTGGCCGGTGTGATTACCTTTGGTCGGTCCGGTCGGGGTTCAATGGCCATTTGCACGATATGTCAATCAGCCGTTGGCCCCGCTTATATGGCCATGACATATACCATACTGCCGGGCAAACAAGAGGAGGAGATGTGATTCCCAAATTGTTGCAACCATTTGTAGCTGCATTCATTAAATGCGTCCACGCACGAGGCATACGCTGTCATTCCACATGTAAATGCGGCTTCCAATAATCCAGTCCATATAGCACTGGGCCCAAGGCACATCATTAGTGTTGCGGAGTCAATCTCCGCATGACGGAATCCAGGACACGCTTCTTTAACGGACCACCACCTCACTGGATCATTGCGTTTGTAGGACAGAGAGGCACAGCCCCATTGAAGAGCAGCTTGTTTCAAGTTTTAGACTCGGTAATCAAGCCAAATCGAAAGTGGGCCATAGATCTGTGGGCACGTGCATAAGTACGAGTATATGATGGTTGTATTTGCTCTTTGGCTATATGAAAATCGTCACACTCCCAAGACTTTGCTAGTGCAAATAACCCATGCATGTCTGCAAATACTACAAGTAGTGCGCTGCTCCTCTGGAGCACACACATCTCCATTCCGAATGACCTTTGGCTCCCACTTTTCGGCCAGGACTCCATTAAGTTCAAATTGAATCGATTGTTTAGCTGTGATCAAGATAACTGGCAACTAAGCCGACAGACGAGTCCTGGGAGACAGTCTCCCAGCCCCTCCACTGCCTGTGCTGCACCAAAGCAGCTCCAGCTCCAGCTCCAGCTCCAGCTCTGGCTGCATCTGAATCTGAATCTGAAGCTGAAGCTAGAGCTGGCGCTGGAGCTGGAGCTCTGGAGCAGGAGCAAGTGCACTTGGCTGGCAAATGTTGACATTTCTTCTTGGGGATTTCAGCTCGCTTGTGCGCTTGGATTTTGTTTTTATTATGATTATTTTAACTGCTAAGGCAAAGACAAACACACTGAGGAAAATGGGAGCATGGATGGGGTGGGGGGAGGTTGCGCGGCGGCGAAGGAGCATAAAATGCCATTTTCCAAGGGGCAAGGGGAGGGGCCAAAGGACGAAAATGGGTTTGGCGTCGAGCTTTCGAGCCAAAGCCAGACAAAGTGAAATGCAATAAAACAAAGGCCAGCAAGGAGCGGGGGCAAAGCGAAGGGAAGCAAAGGGAGTGGCAGCCCTGCGACTGTCTTGTCTTGTCTTTGCTGCTCGAATGCCTGCAGCTGTGACCCCTGAACCCGTGGCTCCACCCCGAGCAGCCCCCCACGCTCCACCCACGGAAAGCGCAACGCATTTACAGCGCAATGATTCAAATTGTCGCCTCGGATTATGGATTTATTACGCGTCTCGTTTCTCGTAAGCCGCCAGCGAGGAGCTGCAATTGTGCATGCTGCTTGCAATTACTATCAATGCTCACTTTTCCCTATTTTTTTTTTCGCTTTTTTCACTTTTTGCACCACCATTTCCCCGATTTGCGAAAATGTGTCAGTAATTCGCGCTGACAATTTTTCGGGCTTCGCATCCCTAGCGCTCCATCTATCTGCAGCCAAATGTGAGTGCAGCCCCGTTTCTCCATTGTCATTGGATTAAGCGTAAATGTTTATGCAGCAGCTCAAAGTTGGAACTTGTTTATGTGTTATATGTTATATGTTATGTGTGCTTCCCTTGCTTTTCATCTTAAAGTGCAGCTCCAGCAGGCCCATTGCTTACAAGAAAATTGCGATTCTTGCCACTTCGATCATGTGCGTAGGAGACCAGAACCGTGTGGCTGGCCTCCAGTTGCCATCGAATACTTGCTGCCTCATCAAATTCATTTAAAGGTTGCTGCGACTAAAAACAGAACCCTCATTAGTGGGTCAAGGTAAATGCCTTTGCCAAGTCACGATTTGCAAAGTGTGGCTATGTGGCTATGTGGCTATATCTTCGACTTTGGGCCCTTTTCGCAGATTCATTTTAAGCCTACTCATGCTGCAAAGCCTGCTTGACCCTTGACCCGGGTCCCTGGCACTTGGGTCATGGCGATTCGGATTCAGATTTGGCCACGGAGCTGCACGAAGCTAGAAATCATTCAGAGATTCAGGCATTCAGTAGGAAATTCATGCCCAAATGCGGCGAATGACAAAGTAGTTGAAAGCTTTTCGTAATTATTATTATGTGTTATTTGTGTGTGCAACTCTAATTGTTGTCAACAACAGATGTGGTGAGCTTCACTTGTTGTCGGTGTTCATCTTACGATGTTTGGTGTTTGCTGTTCGGTGTTTGCTGTTCGGTGTTCGCTGCTCGTTGTTGTTCGCAGTTGACAACTCTGACATTTCGAATTTAGACATTGCCTGACTGTTTGACCGCGCATTAAAATGCGCTTTTTGTGTGCCACGGCTAGTTAGGATTTGGTGACTCTGATGTCCCCCCGCTTTTTGTTGTTTACCTGCTTGCTGCGCGCACATCGAATTATGTAAACTCACTTTTTTGGCTTACAAAAAAATCGTGTCATGCTGGGTGGGATCCGGGGGAGTTTCGGTGGCTTCCAGGCGTTAAGGGGGCTAAAGAGGCTAAAGATGGCTGAGGCGGAGGTCACGAAGATGCTGCAGTCACAACAATGCAACGAACGAACGGGCGTTGCAGATTAATTAACGTCTGACTGCGATAA